ATTCTAAATGTTTGAAAATTCTGTTTAAGTTTCAATACTTGAAGCTTCTTAAATTAAGAGGATGAGGTGTTCAGTGTCCTCATTAATAATCAGGTGAAGTATACCTTAAAAATGAGGGGGGAAAATTTCTGGTGGTATAACTCAGCAGTGCCACTTGAAACCAGCTGAAACTGGGGTTCTGTGTTAAGGTTATGATATAATACAGATATACATATATATATATTTATTTATTTTGAACTTCTCGGAAGCTTCTGTGTGGGTTCTGTATGCCTTTCCTCAGTTTCTCAGAACCGCTCCTCAGACAGATCTGGAGTTTCTTTCAGCATGTATGTAGGTATTGGGGAAAAGCGTTGAAAGTCTGATTATGTCACCCTTTTCTTAAAACCTTTGACTGAAAAGATATGAAAGTCCACTTTATTTGTTCTGCGCAGTTGAGTGGAGTCGGTGGTGCGTTCCCTGCAGCAGTGCCAGCAGCAGCTCGGGACACTGGTTGCGTTTGCCCAGTTGCAGCCCCTGTGCTGAGCACATGCGCTTGCATGCTTGGCTGGTTACACTTGTCTGCTGGAAGGTGGCATGCAAGATTCATTAGGACATAGGCTGCAACGAAGTATGCTTTTTATATAATCAGTTTCTGTAATGTTACAAATGCCTCTTCTTCTGAGAACCTTTCCCTGGGGCACAAATGTGCTCCTGTGGCAGTGTCGTGTTGTGCCCCTTCCCTTTCTGCCGGGGAACGTGTTCTCCGGTGGGCGAGATGCAAGGATAGGCAAGCAGAAAGCCACGGTGCTCATGTCTGCAGGACATGCCAACAGTTTGTGGGGGTGTTTAAACGGGTGTGCAACACACACAAGTATTTAGTGAGGAGAAACTGCTGTGATGGACATAAACAAGGGACAGTCTCAAGGACAAAAAGTTCTGGAGGACTCAGAGAAGTGAATAGCCTGTACAACTGAAAACCGCCTCTTAGTCAAGTCCTTTGCTTTGATGTGGTCCTAAGAAAGGCAATTGCATCATAACTGCAGTGGCATGCTTCCCCCTCAATGCCAAAGTTATTTTATATTAACTGAAAGCTGGACTCTCTTGTTCCCTTGTCCCAGAGGGCATATATTCCATGAAAATTACAGTGGGATTTACTAGCACATAAACTTTAAAATGCAATAGTTATTCCTTACAAGCTCTCCATTTGAACATGCAGTGAGCTAAACCCGTGCGTGGTTTAGCTTACCCTTGTCTGGAAATAGATGAAACTGAACAATATAAATGCTCTCTGCAGAGAATAAGAGTCTGTGTGGGGAACCCTTTCACCGACCTTTCCAAAGCCATCTCGTTTTGTACATATAGAAGACTTTTCGAGTAAGTTCGAAAGTAGAAAAAACATTGGGACTTGACTTGACAGGAAGCCCTGGAAGCTTTCAGGCTCTCTAACCTGGCTACTTGGCAAGGAGTTGTTCTCAGTGGGGCCACAAAAGCTGAAATAAAATAGCACGAACTAACAGAAGGTGGGCTCTTGAAACTCAGCGGTAGACCTGCTTCTGCTTCACTGGAAGGTAATAAAACCAAAACATTTCTGCAAGACTTGCCAGTTTTGGCAAACCTATATTTTTAGTCAAAACTTAGGAGTAGCTAAGGGATGAACTAGGGTACAGGAGGAAAATCTGATACCTTCTCTGTAGTGCTGATTGTAGCATTATTGTAAATGACTTTTGATTCATCCTGTTTTCTCCTTGCAAAGTGTTTCTTGGATATCTTTTTCCAGATCTTGTTTGACTCAGCTCCTGTAGGCTGACTCCAAATTGGAGATTTTTGTTTTTAACTTGTATTCCCTGTAAGCAATTACTCTTAATATAAATTCTAAATATCCTACGATACACTTCTGACCTTTTAACTTCTCTGCTACGAAGAGTATAATGACTGTGTTGAACAAAGGAGGAAATTGAAGGCCAAATGTTGCGCTGGGAAACTGAATCAAATGGGACCTGGAGAAATGGGCTATAATCTGTGTGAAGGGAGTGGTTCGGCATAATATCTGTGTTCATATGCACTTACCTTTTTCTTGCCTATGGTTACATACACAGTAGGAGAAATTTGGTAATGGGGAGGGGAGGCAAACAAGGAGCCTGTAGCGGAACAGCAGCAGCGGACGACTGCTTGTGTTGTAAATTATTTTACATTGTTGAGTTGCACTAATACCTGTGCCGAAAGTTTCACCTCACGTGGGGGAAGAGGATAGGAGCACGTAGGCTGTCATAGCCTACTCGTACTTCCTTCTCTACACCCGTTCCGAAGAGGCGTCACAGTGACCTTGTACTTCCATAGCGGCTGTGCAACTTGGAGCTGAAGGACCTTGCAGTTACAGATAAACAAAGTTCTTGCTCGTGGACCTGTAACACTTAGCCGGATTCATGTCCGTTGTTACAAATTACGTCTCAAATCATACAGTTCTAAATGCAAAATTATCTTTGGTAAGAACTTATCAAACTGTGCAGTACTTTCTTGATGCATATTATTCTATTTAGTGAGCCCATTAAAATTCAAGATCTTGTGATATGTGTGAGATGTGAGAAGTGGCAAGCCAGTTAAATAACAGAACCTGCATCTTTTCACTTTTTCAAGTGTTTTTAAGTTAATGTTGCATGTTGAGTATGTTAAGCCTGTTGAGATTAAGTGTGTGTTGCATGGCAAGACAGGCTTTGTTTCTAGCTTAGTGCTTGTTGCTGCAGGAATATGGTCTGAAATATGTTATGATGGAAAATTTGATGCAACTTTCATTTCATAAGCCTTGAGGCATCTTATATTTAGTTTTCCCATTATTAAATGGAACTAATTTTTAGTAGCTTTATATGACCGTGTGTCATGTCAGATGAGTAACGTGTTTTGTTTCAAACTTTGGAGTGCACTTAGCAAAATCTTGAAGGCAGTTTCAGTCCGCTAACTGGAAGGCAGTTTTTAGTGTACTTCAAGATGATGCAGGTCTCAAAACCACGGTCAGATCCACCTGGAGAGGTAGCAGGACTTCCCTCGAGGAACTGGTTGCTCAGATTCTGCGTGTGCTCCAAGGTCAGGCACTTGCACCGGTATTTTCTCTTAAAGATGAGTTTGATGGAGAGTGGACATGATGGCTGAGTTACAGAAAGGCAGCGGAGATGTCCTTGTCAGCTTATGTGTCCAGGGGGCTTCTGTGAAGAATGTGACCCTGAAAATTTGCTGCTCTTTTCACTGCAGTGACTTAACTGAAGATGCTTTTGCTTCAGGAAAATTTCAATGCAGTATTTATTTCATATCAAACAGGCAAAACAGTTTGTGATCCTTCCCTTCCCCTTTCCCCTCAAGGGGAAGGTGGTATTGAAATGGTACGCTTTGTGCCAGTGGTACGCAGCTCCTGTCGCAATCGATGGAGCTCGCTACTGGAGCAGTGCTGAATCAGGCCGTATGCGCAGACAGCTGGGAGTCTGTGTACGCAGACTCAGGACGTCAGTAAACGTAGAAGTAGCGATTCTGCGTGGATCTGATGGTTATGTTGCATAGCCTTTGCAGAAACATTGTTCTACGCTTCCACGGCATAAAAACGGGAATGTGTTAGGTGGCATATTTAAAAATCCAACCAACCAGAACTATAATACTGCGTAAAATGAATGGAGCTCTTTCACTGCCACAATCTTTACCTAATTAGGTAACTTGGAAGGGTGATTGAGAGCCTCAAGAACTCATTTGGGGCCGGACGGGGAAGGGAGCATGCTGGAAGAAGTAGCCTTCAGGAGAGGAGAGGGTTTCTTCACCCTCGTGGCTTCTGCAAGCCGTGCTTGTCTTCTGGTTGTACCTGTTCGCAGGCTCTGCTCTGCTCTCTTGTTTCCCTGTCTTGTATTTGTGGGATTGTGTTTGCAGTGCCGCATGTGTAGGTATGCGTATGATGACGTTCAACTTCTTATGTGACCAGCAAAACATCTGACTGCCACAGGAGATAAATGTCTTCCATTAATACTGTGAACTGCAACTGAACAGTGGAGATATTAGGGATGCTTTTTAATAAAATAAGATCTTATCACAGACATCTGTAAGATTAACTGCAATATCTTAGAATCAACTTGCTTATGAATTGCCACATACAGTATGTTTACCATGCACTTGCACATGTGGTATTTTCAAATATCGGTGGATATTATGTGCAGAGGTAAAATGTGGCTTTTTACGTGTACATTTGCCTATACATGAAATCCTCCCGTGTGTGCCTATGAAAGGCATGAGCTGGCAGCCTAAGCAACCGTTACTTTTTTTTTTCTTACACAAGTGTGAAACAGCTAAAAAATTCATGGCGTATCATATCTTTCTAGTATTTATGGCAGGAATTAGATGAGGTCCGTGTGTTTTTCCTCTGTATTCAGAGTGGGCTTCGACTTATACTGGTAAATAGCCTTATTCTAAGTGATCATACTGGCTTTCTTGTTACTATACGAAGACTTATACTCATTTCACATATGCAGTTCACTTTTTCTGCTGTAGTTCTGAAACAGACTTTCTTTTGTGAATTGGGGCTTAGTGTCTTAAAAACACCTCGGTATCGGGTGCCTGTCTCAAACTGTGGAAACTGTACCCGACTATAGTCGGGTACCTTTGTAGAACTAGCTTCTATTTTAATGAGGGTACGTTTGTTAGTTATTTGTTTCCTCCTCCTTTATAAGGACAGAGAGACGTATCTTCCGAGTTTTGTGAAGAACGTTAACTCTTGCGTGGATGGAATAGTGCTGCTGAGTTAGTGCTTTATTGGTATGACAAACCATTAGAAGGCGGCATTGTTTGCTGTTCTGGCATGAGCACCAACGTTCACTCACAACCTAGAAAAGCTAATTAAAAATTATAATTGGCTGCTCTTTTCTCCTCTCCCCTATTTAATGTTTGTCTTGCCTGTCACACTGCAAAGTTAGGTTTTTGTCTTCAGTTTTTTAAAAATAACCTGACCTCTACAATCGAGAGAACTTTGCAGCCATTTTTGGGTATTATTTACACACAAAGACAGTGCAGGTGGATGAAAATCTTCTGGGGTCTGCTTATAGCTCGCTGTAACTCAGGTAAGTGCGGTGAGAGATGGCTTTTGCGTGTTTCATGGATTCGCAAGATTGGAGAGCAAATTTCACTTTTTAAACTTTCTAAAAGTGAAAAGGAAGGAGAACGGTTATTTTTTTAAAGTGTTATCTAATCACGGCTCATGATTGTCAAATGCAGAATTTGTGCTCGGATTTGCAGTTTACTACCTTGACACGGTAGTCGACCCCGCAGTCAGAGGGGCTTTGGTTTACAAATACGTTGTAATATGGTATTGTAACGTGCAGGAAAAGTAGACAAAAAGTAATGATATTGTCCCTGGTTTAAGAAGTGTTCCAGATGAATATTGGTGAAGAAGGTACCAGTAAGTATTGCTTTACTGTCCCGTTCTCAAATTTTTTCTGAAGTTTGTGGAAATGGCCGTTGTCAGACTGCTGACCTAGACCTCTTGCTATTCTCCTTTTCTTCAGATGCCCCCAAACCTGTTCAGGTTAGCCATTTAATTACCAAGTCCCTTCAGTCAGTGATATGATCTCTTACTCTTTATTTATTGAGTTTAGTGGAACTAGAGCAGTTGGGCGCTTTGCATAGCTCCGGAGACCATTGCTGTCTTCCCTAATTCATGTCGATGAGCTTTTGGTTGCACCCCAGTAAAAGTAATCAATGTTGCAAAGCAATCGGGCAAGGCTGCTAAAACTGGGAGAGGCATTTATGGAAGCAGCTTCGGCAAAAGGGAAATTGTACGTGTAGGTTTTTGCTTGTTTGTTTGTTTCTTTTTTTTTTTTAGGCTAGAAAGGGAGCTGACAGTCTTTGCTCAACGCTGTGAGCTTAAAATGCTCGTTTTTTTGTCTGATGGAAAGCACTGGTTCTCAGCATGGTACCCTCTTCTGAGGAGAAGATTAAAAAAGAGATGAGATGGATTTAAAAAGGTCACATCACTAATACATAAGCCTGCCGTTGATAACAGGGCAAAATTCACTGCATGTTTGTACATTTTTGTTATAATAACTCAAACAAGGACCAGAGAAAGGACTTCATGTAGTTAGTTCTTTTTTAAAAAAAACACTGGAAGAGAGTGACTTATGAAGAAATGTTTTCCATCGGAAGCTGACTTCTTAAAGGCAAACTTACGTGCTTTGAGCATTCAAGTAAGAATTTTATTTAAAAAAATATTCCTTATCATTAGTGCATACCCAATATTATTTACCTTGCATAGTCAGAGAAAAGCAGTCATTGTATTGGAAGTTCAGTTATTCTGCTCGTAAAACAGTGTTCCTTTCCAGGTAGACCTGGTAGATCCACAGAGCAATGAAATGATTAAGTTTTGGATACTTTTTCCAAAGAGAATAATGAATTTGATTACTCATACTTATTTTGAAATTCTTACAGGTAAGATGTAAATGCTTTGAAGTGTGGACAGTGTGTTTTACATATAATTCTAGATGACTTGGCGAAAAGGCAAGCTTTTCAACATCAAGTAATATTTTCTTTTAATTTGTTATATGGTATTTTCGGTTTGCTCTGTAATCAGATGGCTGTTTTGAATAATTAATATGCACCAGATTCTAATGCCTTTAATTATGGTGGCTAATGCCTTTTCCTGTCACTTCGATTGAAGTCAGTGGGATGTTTTGTGAACTAAATTGGAAGTGAAGTATGCAGAAATCTCTGCCTCAGTGGTAAAACGCACAATACTGCATGTTCTGCGCGTCAACATGAAGGTCCATGGTAGCACAAAACGACGTGTTCTGGCTTTGCAAGGAGGGTATAAACCTGTCTGTTGTAACAAGCTGACTTTTCCCTAGGGTTTGCCTCAAAATGTGGTACTGGAAAGGAAGAAGCCTCTGAAGCGGGGGGAGAAGGGAGATTCCCGGCCCGTTGCACCACTGTTGTGCAGTTCCTCGAGCCGCAGGTTGCATTAAGCTGACTTTACTCTGCAGCCTTTTCCTTTCTGAACGGCGTGGTAGTGGGCTTCTGGTTTTGGCTCTTCCCTTCCTTAAGGGACTCGCCTGGCGGGCTGGGGTGGGGGGAGCGGCGGCGGGGGGAAAGCAGCTAGCGGGCACCTTCCCGCCGAGCCGGGCTCGGGCTGTGCCGGCCTTGGGAAAGGGCCCTAAGTGATGCTGAGGCTCTTTCGCAAAACCACCTGGGTGACGGTGGTAGAGCGAATATGTCTTTATTCGTTGTCTCAGCTGTGCTGCACTGTTAAAGCAGGGATGAGAGAAGCTCCTGGCTGTAGAGAGTAGTGAGAAGCAGAAATGTTTATTTTCCACTACCGTTCATAGAGGAAAATCGCTTCCGCAGCCTCACTGCTGCTCCCAGAAGGTTTAGCCAGAGCTGCTGGGGCTCCAGCTGGTAGGTTCCTTGCTTGCTTTTATTTTCTCTCCTCATGCTCTCTAACTATCTGGAGCATTTTTTCCATAAAGACGCACTTTTGAGACTTGCCCTCTCATACGAGATAAATCAGAGAGCGTTTCTAAACTTGGATGCAGAGACTGAGCCAGCTCTGCTGGCACTGTGCTTTTTTTATTTTAGTCTCTGTCTCAGGTTCTTCCTAACCGGTCCCTGAGGCTTTTGTACTGCTGCAGAGAAGCGCGTTAGGGTTTTTATTTTTTTTTTTTCTTTCAATGTCTTGGTTGTGCGTTTTGTTTTGTTGACTCATATCTCAGTGTCAGGTAGCTTTTAAAGAATTATTTTCCTTTTCCATTCACTTTTATTGAAACTAGTGAATATCTTAAAGTTGTATGGGTTTGGGTGGTGTGTTTGCTTTTTAACCACCCCCCCACCCTTCTCTCTTCAGTACTTACAAACACGCTATGTAGACAGTAAACAGTGCCAAAACCGGTTTTTAAGACGTATCTTGGGAGGAGGGATGGGGGAAAAAGATTGTACCCCAGCAGTGCTTTGATTCGCGTGTGGACCTGGCGGCAAGCTGCCTGGGGCATGTTTGGTCACCTCGGAAGAGGATACGTAGCTTGTGCGCGGGTGGGAGCGGAGAGCGCGCCCGCCCGGGGCGCGGGCTGGGGCCGGCTGGGAGGAAGGGGGCGCCCCTTCCCCGCGGCATCGGGCACAACCGCTTCTTCTCCAAACTTCAAGCCTTCCCACTTTGCGGTTTATTTCCTAAGGGGAGGATGGCTTTTTCACTGTTACAGACATTTCCAGCGCATCAGAGAAGCGCGTTCCTCCGTTATTTTTGCTCTGATACAATATGCGCACTTTCTTCCTTGAACTAAATTGCCTTATCAGTGCGCATTTGAAAAGTGATTTTAAAAAATAGTGACAATTGCTATTAGTTGTTTGTGAGCCGCTTTTGCAGCGTGCATCTGGCTGACACGCGCTTTCACGTGTGTATGATGTCGTTTCCCCCGAACGTCGGGATGCGCGAGCCTTCATCCCGCAGAGCGGGGGCCCGGCCGCTCGCTGCGGCCTCCAGCGCTACAGGCGGCGTGGTTCTGGTTGCTTACGTGGTTCTGGTTGCGTACAATAACTACTCTATAAAGGCTAGAAAAAGCTCCGTTTCTCTCCTTTCAGAAGTGGTGGCAGGGAGGGAGCTTTCCAGGTCTGCCCGACGCCCTCGTACCCCGAGGCGCGCGGTCGGGGTGGCGTGGCGCTCGCGTACGGGAGCGGTGCGTTCTGGAGGACTGTCAGTTCAGCCGCTCGTTTCCTGCGTCGGCGTGTTTCAGTCGGAGCCGCGCGCCGCCGCGCTCTCGCGCGATTGGC